CCCCTTTTTTTTGGAGTCATTCCATTTCTACAGGGTCTCACAAATTGGCTCTAAGATGAATTGCCCACTTACAAAAAGTGAAATGTAATAGGCTCAAGACGTCTGCCAACCTAACCTTCACTATCACAAGAGTCTACCTTAAAATAGACCCTCTGGTGACTTAAATCACATGAAAACACAAGACCTTACGCTAAAATTCAAGGGTCAATTCTTTCGATTATTTTCCAAAACCTGTGCTTTCACTGACATGCCACCCTTCTTTTTTTATTGACCAGAATGCGTTTCAGGCAGTTCTAGGATCTGGAAACATTATGACAAATCCCAATCACTTAATAGGACATGAATATGCCATTTAATTACAAGTTATTAGATAAACTGTGATTTATTGAAGTAAACCTGTGTTAATGCCAGGGTTCCTAAACTAAGCTTAGAAATAGCAACTCTTAGACGCAGGTGTCAAGTTGCAATCCTAGTTCCAGGGTCTTCAGTCTGACATTCAGTGGTGTAAATTAGGCAGGGCAAGCAACTTGTTAGAAGAGCCAGAAGCTTCTTGTAGTTTCTTTTACAGTGGGCCAACAGAGCCCCAGGTAGAGAGGGCCCCCAAGTTTGGGGTCAAACTTTCACTCCACCTTGGGACCCAAGTTACTGTCAAGCAAACAAGTCCCCACCCCCTCAGCATGGAGGACCCAAATGAGCTCCAACTCTCACTTGAGGGAAGGAAGACTGCTTGCAGGGGGTCGAGGAGCCCCTGAACCCTGCACTCCATCCTCCCCAACCGTGCTCACCTGAGCCCTTGGATCAGGGGAGCGCTGTTGGCTCTCCTCAGGGTGACCCCATCAGATGTGTCAGACTCCAAGTCCAGCTCCATTTTCTCCTGAGCCATGTCGGAGACTTGCAGGCAGGCACGGCGGACAGTGCTCAGCTCCTGGTGCTTAGCTATGGACTCCCAAGACTCTCACTGCAGGACTGAGCTGCTGGGGACTGGCAGTTGGGGGCGGGGGCTAAGGGGCGGAGGCTTGGGGGCGGGGGCGGAGAAAAGCAGGAGAGGAGGAGGAGGGAAGGAGGATGAGGATGAGGGAGGGGAGGAGGACGGAGAGGTCGTGGTGGACGGTGACAGGATAAAGGAAGAGGAACGAGTAAGGAGAGGGATGGAAGGAGGAGGTAAAAGAGCAAGAGGGAGGGAAAAAGGTAGATGGAAAAGCAGGAAGACAAAGAGGGTACAAGGAGGAGGACAGAAGGGGGAAAAGAAGACGGGGGAAAGGAGGAGGGTAGGGTGGAGGGAAAAGAGGAGCGGGGGGAGTGAAAGAAGAAGGACGAAGTATGGGGAAGAGGAGAGAGAAAGGAGGGAGCAGAGAAGGACGGGGGGGAAACTAGGCAGCGGCGGCACTCATGCTGCTATCTTTTGGCCAACGACCTCAAGCGGGGCCGGGCTACAGACACCCCAGCTGCCCGGGCAGCACTAGCACCGAGGAGCTGACAGTCGGGCAGGGCCCGGCCAGGCAGCCTCGGAGACTCCAGCTCCCCATGCTCGGGGACCCGGTCCAGTCCCCCATGCTCCGGGACCCGGTCCGGAGGCTCCTCAGCCCTGCGATCGGTGCTTCTCCTCTCCTCGCCCCCCCTCCCTGCCTGGAGGACAGGTGGGGGGTTCGACCAGCCGCCGCCGCGGTGCCTCCTTCTCCTGTCTTGGGTTCTAATGGCCCGGGGGAACCCCTCGGGGCCAAGACCAAATTCTACAACCTGCCGCCTCTCACGCCTCAGAAGCGGGAACCTCCGCCGTGCCAGGTCTTCCGCGTCCGGGGACCCATCGGGTCCTGCGCACGCGCCCAGCGGCCGCGCCAATGGGCCCGCGGGCACGGAGCATGCGTGGGAGCCCCGCCCGGCAAACTTCCTCCAAAGGGGAGGAGCGTTTCCAGGGAGCCCGGAGCCTTTTTTGAGTGCATTGGCCCGGGGACCCTGGCGCCCGATTTTGAAAAGGACCAATCGTTTGGAGATACTGGAGCATCATCTTTCTGGAGGATTTTGGGCCAGTATTCATGGGAAAAAGAAACACGTGGTTTCCACGTTTTTTCGCTCCCAATTCGTATGCTCTGACTTCTGTGATCCTCGCTCGTTTCTTAAATCCCTCGACTTTGTTGGTCTCTGTCTGGAGGGGCAGATTTATTTTTCAGATCATCCATTTGGATGCACTAGGGATGCAAAGGGAAGTGAATAAACAAAAGCAATGGGGTAAAAATAAAGTGAATCTAGTGAGAGTTCATATAGTTAGTGAGAAACACTCGTCTCCATTATACAAGCACCTTTCGCTTCAATGATATTAGGTAAAGTCCTGACGAACAAGTAGCAGAACCAGAATTCTTGTGTGAGACCTGGAATTACTTTTTTTTTTTTTTTTTTTTTTTGCGGTACGCGGCCCTCTGACCTCTGCGGCCTCTCCCGTTGCGGAGCACAGGCTCCGGACGCGCAGGCCCCAGCGGCCATGGCTCACGGGCCCAGCCGCTGGCGGCATGAGGGATCCTCCCGGACGGGCACGAACCCGCGTTCGTTCGGGGCACGAACCCGCGTTCCCTGCATCGGCAGGCGGACTCCCAACCACTGCGCCACCAGAGAAGCCCTGGAATTACTTATTTTATTGAACACCTGCGTAGCAGTTACTGTGTGCTAGGCAGCATTCTGAGAGCTTTAGAAATATTAACTCATTTAATCCTCACCACTTGAATGACCCTGGGAGAGAGATGGCCTCTGTGTTGTGTTAATCATACATACCTAGAAAATACAGGAAACTTAATAACCAGGAAATTTAAAATAAAAAAAATTCATCTTTTGCAAAAATAGTTTTACCTGCTTCTTCAACTCAGTTGTACCATATTAAAACTTGCCAAGCCTAATCGTCATTTTAATCCTCAATATTTATGTGTTCTGACCATAATAGAGTTTTTAAACCACTTTTAGATAGTTTCCTTTAAATTGCCTATATTTTCCTGCCAGCTGGATTAGAAACACAAGCTCTGTGTTTAGATATCAGTAATGTTTAGACATGATGAGATTTGATTGGTCTATTCATTCAGAATATATCCATTAAACCTTATTACCTGCCAAGAATAGTAATAAACTCTTTGAAAAGTAAAATAAGCAGTAGAGTGGAGGTAAGAGCTACCTGTTCTCTGATGTACTCCATATTTATCTCTTATTCAAACAGTTTGGTTTTGACCCTCTGTTCTGTATTTAACCATTGCCTTCTGCAGTCACCCTGACTTTACTAAGCTTTAGCTGCCATCTTTCATAAACTTTCCAGCTTACCCTGGGAACTTCAGCAGTGGCTTTCAGGAATCTTGGTACCAGCCCAGATTCTACTGCTACCTAGTTATGTGCCATTAATCTCTCTGGAATTTTATCAACTATAAAATAGAAATGATTTACTTACTTTACAGGATAGCTGTGAAGGACAGGTTATTTAAACCTGTATTTATTCATAAAATAATCTAATAAGTATTTGTCGAGTACTTATGGGTATAAAAATAGTATCCAGAGAAATATCCAGAGGCGCCTGGTCTGTCTTTTCACTTAAATAGAAGGGCAGAGGAATCTTGGCTTTGCCACTTAGTAGTTGTAATTTGAGTAACCCCTCCCAGCTTCGGTTTCCTCCTTTGAAAAATGGGCATTGTGATGGCGCCTAACTCACAGAGTTACTGTAAGCATTAAATGCGATCACATATTTCAAGTGCTTAGGACAGTACCTGGCACATAATAAGTGCCCCCCAAATGGTAGCTATTGTTAACCTGTCTTATATCAGGAATGGAGACTCCAAATCGTCCTCATGTCTGGGGTTTAGGTAACCTAATTCTGCCCAATGTAACTACACTTTTCTTAGTCTATTCTCAGAATGAATGAAGAATGATTATGATACTTCATGTTATACATGAACTTGTCATGAACTGTCTCAAGATAATCCCATTATTTTAAATTCACCACTGATTAGCTGAGCAAGGTTAATGATTGAACCAATTGAGATAAGTATGTGAAAACATTTTTTTAAAACTGTAAAGTGCTATACCACCTTATGACTATTTTAATAACTCCCATTTCACTCGTTTCACTTGCCTTCTCTCCCAGTTCTCTATATGGTTCCTAAAATGTGTGGTTTTTCAAAATTATTAGCATGGAGTTAAGATTTCACTACTCAGTGTGGCTCATTAACTGGTGGTGAAAAATTCTAAAAGAGCAGTTCTTAGAATGTTTCGAGCCATGATAGCATTGTTAAATGGAAACACTGGGATGTATACTAAATTCTGAGATATTTGCTTTAAGAAAATAAGCCTCCCTGCTTTAACCCCAATTTTTTTCTTAGATGAATAGCTTCGAGCAGCTAGGTTTTATTCATTGTAAAAATATACTGTATGATTATGGTAAAACACACACACACGGAAAACAATGATTTGTTTGTGCGATTGGTTCAATTGTGTTAGCGCCTTACCAGGACCCTTTGGGAGTGGGTGGTCTCTAAGCACTTAAAAGTGTCCCCGCCCACACCCCCAGGCTTCAGTGTTTTTTTAATTGCAAAGGTGTAGGGTGTCTTAACAGGATGGAAAAATTCGTCCTGGGAGATTACAAGCTTGTTGGCCTCAGTCATAAGGGGACACTGGGCTAACCAAAACTGAGAAAACAGGGTATTAGACTTAAGGCAGAAAGGATGGCGCTCCCATACACCTTATTCCATTCTTTCTTTCCTAAATAATGGTTAACGAAACCACGCCAGGGTTAACACAGGAGCGGAAGAACAACCAAGGTGAGTCTGCACTAGGGAGAGCGAAGGGAGAACCGGGTTTGGGGGGGAAAGGCGGCTCCCTCACTGCCTGTGCGCCCCCAGCAAGAATGACACAGGCGCCTGCGATAATGCTCATTGCTTGCGTGGTAAACAGGCGTCAGCGGGCCGGACCCAGAACGCATGCGCGGAGGGGCGGTGCCCAAATGATTATCCAGGGCTGCAGGTTGTAGATTTTGTTTTGGCCGGAGAGGCTTACCCGGGGTTGCCTTGGCTGAGAGAAATAAAGGAGAAGGATTCACGGATTAAGATAAATTCCTCATTTTCATTACAGGCTTGGAGGTGGAGGATCTCAGTGTTGGTGCCCCGAGCTTGGGAGTTAGGCGGGTCGGAGCCAGTCCTGCCCCACTTTGTGCCCACCGGTGTTGGGGATGGTAGGGCTGCAAAAGTGAGCACGCACTCGTCTAAGAGCTTCCTCCTTTCTTCTCTTTCCCCCCTTTTTCCTCTCTCCCTACATCAGCTCCTCACTTTGACTTGTGCTTATATGAACGGGAGCCAGAAAACCTTGAGAGCTCCAAACTAAGCTTCGGCACGGACATGGCACAGGAGAAAATGGAACTAGGCTTGGAGGTGCTGCCGAGTTCAACCACCACAGAAGACAACACTCTGAGAAGATCCAACAGCGTCCCTTTGATCAGTGGGCTTGGGTGAGCAGGACTGAGATACTGGAGGAGGCAAGCGGGGGCGGTGGAGGGTGGCAAGAGCTGCAAAAAAGTGACTTCCAATAGCATTCCCACCCCTTTATTCATCGAGGTTCTGCGGGTATCTCCGGTGTTCCTGGTGTCCGGAAGATCCCACCCTCAGTCTGGGGGTGGGGGGAGGTGGGGCGGGCTGACCGGAGGGCGAGCTCACACAGGAACCTGAACGTCCTCTTCTGACAGTTCATCGCGACCGGAAAGCAGCAACCATTTGGTTTGGAGCACGACTTTTTCTAGCTTCACCCCATCTCTTACCCGCTCTTGAAGAAACTGTGCACTCCCCACCCTCGCCTCCAGATCTTCTGTAATGACTGATTTTTGTCATTCTCTCCGCTGCTTTGTCACTTCTGACCTTCACCTTCAGCACAGTTGGAATGGAACTAGTTGTCAAGCAAATAAGCTTGGGCCTTTTTTACACCTAGCTTTTATTTGAACAAAAAGTTTAGGTATCACCGAAAATTGATCTCCTAAATTTTGCATTCTCAATGGCCAATATTGCCCCTAGTTAGTTCTTGGTGGGTGAAAAATTTTTTCTCGTATGTATAAAGCACAGGTATACATACAGCACATAGACTGATATGCAGTATATTTGTGCTTTTTAAATGGTGTGGGGATTTTCGAGGAGGAGTTGGGGGGAGGAAATGTCTAAAAGGCTCTTTAGAGCTCTGCTGATGAAAAAAGATTTAAAAGATTTAACTCACTGATGGTTAACTGTATTTCCTGCACATATCCAAAGATCTGGCATGACTTAAGCTTATTATTTCTTAAAATAGAATTTTAAAGTGAGATCTTGGATCTCACATCCCAGTATCATAAGGTTTTCTCAGTATTGTAAAAATGTCTGAAAAATGCATTCACTGTTACAAGGGAACTCAAGAGACCAGATCTATCTTCCTTGTTTAATGTATGGGGAAACAGGCCCATGAATCTCCAAAATGTCAGTCAGTAGTAGAGCCAGTACTAGGAAGCTGTGTCTCCAAACTCCTAGGCTAGTGCTTTGTCCACTACTAATCAATATCTAAGTTGATTAACTAAACAGATGCAGCTTTCTGGTTATTTGAGTTAAGGGAGAATATGCTGTAACAAAATGAAAAGCAAACTAAGTGACCAGAAAATAATACATTACCTTTTTAAACAGGCAGATAGAAAAATAAAGGGTGGAGGCAGCTCTGCATGTTGTACTGAGAACAAGAATATTCTATAAATTCAGGATTCTACTCTAAATCCTGTTGTGTGAATAAATGAGCTGTTATGGACACACTCTGCTAGTAGAAGAAAACACTTGAGAATGTTCATTTTATTGAAAGGCTTTATGAAATGAAGAACAATTTGCGAATACGTAGATGACAGAGGATATATATTTGAAGGAACGTGTGGATCCTGTCTAATATATTAAGTGCTGGGGCGGGGGGAGGTGGGTGACCAGGCCCCTTTTCCCGATCCTCAAAGTCCTGGAAGCAAAGAGTGATCCCAGTTATCCCTTCATACTTTGCTTTGTTCTGCAAAGGATGTGAAATTTTTGCTTTTATCATCTTAGAGCGTGGTTACAGTGTTGAATTCCATGGCTTAAGATCCTGATGCAGGAAGTGAATTTTGTACAGAAAGGTTAGGGGCAGTTGCATATTTATCTAGTAGGAGTTAACCCACAAAGCAGACCAAGTCCAGGGACTCTTGTCTGTCAAAAAGAAGTAGCACAGGAATGGTATATCACATGCCCGAGGTCATGTAATCAACAAGAAAAAATTTAGGGTAGAATTACACTGAGCCTTAGTTGAATTCATTTCCCCCCAGTTCTTTGCAGTTGCATATGTCCACTGCTCACTTTTCCACTTTCCTTAAGGTGGGCCTCTAATACTCATTGCCTGGCCTCTATCACAGCTCACTAAATATTGTTGCACTTGTTTCAAGCAATTTTCCAATTTTGCTTGATGTTTCCTGTATATAAAGACTTTCAGTCTCTCTTGCAGCAGCATTTGCAGAATTTGTTCTTTAAATGTCAACTCTTTACTACAAGTATCTTTTTTTTTTTTTTCTGTACGCGGGCCTCTCACTGTTGTGGCCTCTCCCGTTGCGGAGCACAGGCTCCCGACGCGCAGGCCCAGCGGCCATGGCTCACGGGCCCAGCCGCTCTGCGGCATATGGGATCTTCCCGGACCGGGGCACGAACCTGTGTTCCCTGCATCGGCAGGCGGACTCTCAAACACTGCGCCACCAGGGAAGCCCACAAGTATCACTATTTTTTAAGAAGTTCCTGCATAGTTTTGTGTTCATCTTGTATTAATAAAAATACCAATGTCAAAAGTTTTAAACCTCTTGGTTCTTTATACTCTTTAGCCCCTCTAGTTGGCTGACTTCGATACCGGTGTCGGTGACTTTATTTAAAGGTAGTATTTTTTTTCTTCTACTTCTCTGGCCCTTATTAGAATTAGACATTAAATTCTTGGATTTTTGCCAGTGCCTTCCCCCTTTAAATACTGCTAGCCTGACCCTGCATTTAAACTGTTACTGCCTCAGTTTTGTTTGAAAGGTAAACTACTGCCTGGGGGCCAAATTGAGCCTGCTGATTGGTTTTGTAAATAAAGTTTTATTGGAACACAGCCACACCCATTTGTTTACTTATTGTCCTTGGGCCACTTTCCCACTACACTGGCAGAGTTGAGTAGTTGCAACAAGATTGTATGGCCCACCAAGCCCAAAACATTTACTGTCCGGCTCTTTACAGAAAAAGTTTGCCAACTATTGGGTTTATTAAACTTGTGCAAACCTGGAAGAAGAATAGTGGCCATGAAGAGTGATTGCTTTGGGAATATAACTGGCATAAATATACTGTAGTTTAGACAGAGCTGCTTACTGATCATTTAAACATTATCTAGTTATATTACTGCTTACTGATCACTTAAACATTATCTAGTTATATTACTTTCACTTTTTCCAAATTGTAAGTAGCACTTAATTCTAGATATCACCTAGGATTTTATGAATTCATGTTGAGTGACTCATATCAGTTGAAATATATGCTGCCTCAATGATTTTTTTTCAGTTATAGTCTTATTAAATAAAATTGGCAGATGAAAATTTAGGGGAGAATATAATTGTCAGCCTTAAGAATTAGCCCGGGTGGGGGGAGAGATAAATTGGAAGATTGGGGTTGACATATACACACCACTATATATAAAATAGATAACTAATAAGGACGTACTGTGTAGCACAGGGAACTCTACTCAATACTCTGTAATGGCCTATATGGGAAAAGAATCTAAAGAGTGGGTATATGTATATGTATAACTGATACACTTTGCTGTACATGTGAAACTAATACAACACTGTAAATCAACTATACCCCAATAAAAATTTTAAAAAAAAGAATTACCCACACACACAAAAGACCGTGGAAATATGTAACCCATTAGTTTCCCTCCAACTTCCTAGCAGTGACTGCTAAAATATATTCCTGTTCTCATAGGGGAAAATGACTGGGAAAGGAAGTAAAAATTAGACCTGTACGTATATCCTCTCAAAAAATATTGAGTTACTGCCTGTTATATGCAAGTTACTATTCTGCAAAGATGTATATCTAGGCTCAATAAGATTTTTTTTAATGTATTAATTTTTGGCTGTGTTGGGTCTTCATTGCTGTGTGCAGGCTTTCTCTAGTTGTGGCCAGCGGGGGCTACTCTTCGTTGCGGTGTGCGGGCTTCTCATTGCGGTGTCTTCTCTTGTTGCGGAGCACAGGCTCTAGGTGTGTGGGCTTCAGTAGTGGCATGTGGGCTCAGTAGTTGTGGCTCGCGGGTTTAGTTGCTCTGCAGTATGTGGGATCTCTCCGGACCAGGGCTCGAACCCGTGTCCCCTGCATCAGCAGGCGGATTCTTAACCACTGTGCCACCAGGGAACCTCTCAATAAGCTTTTAATAGGGAAAATAAATACTCAAAAGACTTCAACGTATGGTAGAATGACATGTGCTTAGGGAAAGAAAGTGCTAGGGTAATTAAGAGAAGGGAGTGAGAAGTGACAGCAGAATTGGTGAGGGATACAGGAAAGATTCTTGGACAGGTGGTATTTAAGATGGGCCCTAACAGATTGACAGGATGCAGACGGGAAGAAAGGGGGCCAGATAGCTGGACAGCATTCCAACGACACGGAACAGGCTTGGAAGTAGGAAAGCATAGGTGTATTCCAGAATGCTGGTCAGCTCTGTCTGGATCTCTGGCTCCCAAATGTTCATCTGCTGACCAGTGCTGATCCTAGGGGACATTTTACCAATCCATGATTTTAAAAAGTTACAGCATACTTTCCTGGGCAGGACTGTATTTTACTCAGATTGTTAGTCTTGCTTTATTATTATTATTTTTAATAATAGCCCTGCTTTTTTTAAATAACAAAATATCCTTTTATGAATGAAATGATGGTGTTGATAGTTGGTGAGATTTTTAAAGAATGACCTTACTTGGCAAGAGAAAATGGTAGCAACTGTATGTTTGTGCCAAGATTTTGTTTTGAAATTTTCCCAGTCTATGAAATCCAAAAGTCTGTGGAGCTAAATTGTGGAAGGCTTTGAAAGTTATAGGAAAGAATGTAACTGAATTCAGCAGGCGATGAAGAGAGTCATTGAAAGTTTTGGGCAGGAGAGCAAGCTGATTGCAGCAGGGAAAGAACAGAGGTGAGCCGACCAATTAGACTATTGCAGAGTCAGTGGAAAAGTAAAAATGCTTTGAATTGGTTTTTGGCAAGGAGCCTGGAAAGAATAAGATGGACGTGAGAGATCACAGAGGTAAAACCTAAAAGACCTGGCACCTGATTGGATATAGGTGGCAGAAAAGAACATGTTAAAGACGTTTTCTTATTATCACTGGGGAAACCTGGATGAAAGGTACATGAGAACTCTCTATATTCTTTTTGCAATTTCTTGTCTTAAACAGTTTCCAAATAAAACGTTATAACAACACACGACTATATTTAAAATAGGTAACCAACAAAGACCTACTACTGTAAAGCACAGGGAACTCTGCTCAGTATTCTGTAATAACCTAAATGGGAAAAGAATTTGAAAAAGAATATATATATACACACACACATATGTATAACTGAATCACTTTGTTGTACACCTGAAACTAACGCAACATTGTAAATCAACTATAGTCCAATATAAAATAATTTTTTTAAGTTATAACAAAAACAAAACATAAAAAGGAAAAGAGGACTTCTTCAGGGTCCCAACCTCAAATCAGGCTGCGGCCCGCCAGGTGAGCACCTTCAAAGCTGGGCAAACAAGGACCATCTTCAGCATGCAGCAGCTGCTCAGCTTCAGTACGTTGTTGCCATGGGGGAATGTGGCCCAGTGTGGCAAAATCTTGCAAATTTTCAGTAGAATCCAGAAATCTGCAATCTGGATTCTTTATGTGAAATCTCCATAGTTGTTCCAAGTGTGCACAACTAATTCAAAAACATTTTTAACACTGAGTAGGCCAAATGAAACATATCTGAAAATCTCAGTTCTGTCGACCCCTGCTACTGGCTATCCCTCTCATTCATGTGAAAGTTTGGGAGTCGATAGGGAGTTGGTACTAGCACATAATAGCTTCAGTCATAGATTTAAATTGGTTACAAGTTTACACAGAAAATGATGTCTCTCCAAGGCCACAATAAATTATATTTATTCTTGGTAGCATGATTAGAGGTAACGTGGCATGCTTGAGAATTCCTTACCTTACATGGACAGTTGTTTAGGTTCAGCCAACCAAGACTTTGTGTGTGTGTGTGTGTGTGTGTGTGTGTGTGTGTTCTACTTCCTACATCTGCACAGCTGTCTCCACAAAGAAGCCATTTACATCAATGGCATTGTTGTTTAAGGATTTGAAATCTTATTTCTTTAAAAAATGTTTGTAATGGATTTTAAATGACAAATGTTTTCCTTTTCTTCTTAGTGGCAATACACCGGTGTTCCAATCTGACACATTAAGAACTCGAAGAAACAGTACATCGTGTATGGCACAGCACTGTCTGGTAAGAAAATGCTTATAGACTTGCACTATTGGTCTTAGTCAGTGGTTCTCAAACTTGAGTGTGCACCTGGAAAACTTGTTAGAACAGACTACTGGCCCTCAACCCCAGAGTTTCTGATTCAGGAGGTCTCAGGCAGGGCCTGAGAATTTGCATCTCTAACAAGTTCCCACTTTGAGAAACATTGCTCTAAACATTACTGAAGGAAAAATAAACACATTGGCTGCAGTTATGATTGGTACAGCTGCTGCAGCTGCAGCAGAATTAACTTTTAAATCCCACATGGATTTAACATTGAGATTTGCTTTTATATATAAAACCATCTGGCTTTCAATTTTTAAAAGAACATTCTAATTTTGAGAGGAAAACTTGCAGGCTCTCCTAAGGGTAGTTTTCAGGCTTATAGTTGGACTTTATCTCGCATTTATCTTGAATCGAAAATATAGTTTGTTTTTCATGGTGTTATAATGCAATCTCTAAATTAGAACTCATCTACAAATTATCCTGTAAACATAGGAAATACGCTTGTACATCAGTAAGCCAAAGTGAATAAATGATTCACTCTATGAATCATTTTATTGAGGTGAAATTCATACAGCACATAGTTAACTATTTTAAAGTATACAATTCAGGGGCATTTGGTGCATTCACAATGTTGTTCAACCACCACCTCTCTCTTGTTTCAAAAAGCACACATCCTTGTCTTGTTCCTGATCATAAGTGGAAAGCTTTCAGTCTTTCATCGTTGAGTATGATATTAGCTATAGGTTTGGGTAAATGCACTTCATCATGTTAGGGAAATTCCTTTCCACTCCTGCTTGCTGAGTATTTTTATCATGAAAGGGTGTTGAATTGTTTCAAATGCTTTTTCTGCATCTATTGAGATGATCATTTGTTTTTTCCTCTCTATGCTGTTAATATGAATTACTACTTTGATTTTCTTATGTTGAACCACCTTTGAATTCCTGGGATAGACCCCACTTGGTCTTGGTGTATAATCCTTTTAATGTACTATTAGATTTGGTTTGCTATTATTTTGTTGAGGATTTTTCCACCTGTATTCATAAGGGATATTGGGCCGTAGTTTTCTTTTCTTGTAGTATCTTTGCTGGCTTTGGTACCAGGGTAATGCTGATCTCATAAAATGTGTTAGGAAATGTTCCTCCTCTTATATTTTTGGCAGAGTTTTATTAGGATTGGTGTTGATTCTTTAAATGTTTGGTAAAATTCACCAGGGAAGCCATCTGGCCCTAGATTTTTCTTTATTGGGAGGTTGTGGAAACAGATTCTATCTCTTTACTTGTTTACAGGTCTTTTGAGATTTTATAGTTCCTCTTGAGTTAGTTTGGTAATTTGTGTGTTTTTAGAAATTTGTCCAATTTGTCTAGATTATCTGAGAAAATTGTTGATATACAGTTATTCATAGATTTCTCTTATATGATTTAATATGATGGAAGCTATAGAACATATTTTAATGAAATGTTATAGCTTGGAACCTATTTTAAAATATTGCCTCCTAATCTTAAAACTGGACATTTTCATCTTTATAAAATGATATTCAATATTATTCCCACAGATGTACTAATAGTATATTGGGAAAAAAATAGAACTGTTCATTAAACAAATCTTTCTTCCTCTACCCACCCGCTCATTTACTCCTTCATTCAACATTTACTGAGCACTTGCTTGTCTATCAAAGCCCTCTATACCAGATCAGCTCAGTGCTTTGTGACCACCTAGAGGGGTGGGATAGGGAGGGTGGGAGGGAGGGAGATGCAAGAGGGAAGAGATATGGGAACATATGTATATGTATAACTGATTCACTGTGTTATAAAGCAGAAACTAACACACCATTGTAAAGCAATTATACTCCAATAAAGATGTTAAAAATAAAAAGCCCTCCATACCTATCCAGTCTTCTTTTCTACTCAGCCAAGTCAACAAATATTTTTAGGAACCTACTATGTATTAAGCCCTGATCTACTTGCCAGGGAGATCTAACCTAGTTTGAGGGATTTAGAGAGGAAATGACATACTAGTTGAGATCTTACTGCTGTGTAGGTGTTCGCTAGTTTGGGATATTGGTTACAGGAACAGACAATATTCCAGGTTAAAAAAATGGCATGTTAGAAGGCCTAGAGTGTGGTGTGTAGAGAACAGAGTGTGTAGAGAATTTGAAAGAAGTACATTCTAGCTAGAGTGGAAGATGAAGCGGTGAGAAGTGAGGTTGGAGATATAAACTAGTGCAAAATCTTGTGGGGCTCTCCAAGTCATTTTAAAGATTTTGCACTTTGGGAATTCCCTGGTGGTCCAATAGTTAGGACTCGGCACTTTCACTTCCGGGGCCCCGGGTTCAATCCCTGGTCAGGAAACTAAGATCCCACAAGCCACACAGTGTGGCCAAAAAAAAAAAAAAAGATTCTGCCCTTTATCCTAAGGTCAGTGGAAAGCCGTTAAAGAATTCTAAGTCTGTGATTGACCTGATCAAATTTGCATTTTTGTTTTTTAAATTAATTAATTAATTAACTTATTTATTTTTGGCTGTGTTGGGTCTTCATTGCTTCACATGGGCTTTCTCTAGTTGTGGCGAGCGGGGGCTACTCTTCATTGTGGTGCACGGGCTTCTCATTGTGGTGGCTTCTCTTGTTGCAGAGCACGGGCTCTAGGCGCACAGGCTTCAGTAGTTGTGGCACGCGGGCTCAGTATTTGTGGCACGTGGGCTTAGCTGCTCCGCGGCATGTGGGATCTTCCTGGACCAGGGCTCGAACCCGTGTCCCCTGCATTGGCAGACGGATTCTTAACAACTGTGCCACCAGGGAAGTCCCAAATTTGCAATTTTAAAAGATTACCCTGGCTGCAGAGGGGGAAAGTATTGATAGATTGGAAGAGGACAAAAGTAGATACAAGAAGCTCAGATAGGCAACTGCAGTAACCCTGGCAAACAGCTGATAGTAACTTGGACTAATGTGATGGCGGTGGGCATGGAGAACGGTGGCAGATGCGTGAGATACTTGAAAGGTAGAATCAATTGGTGATAGATTCGATGGAGAGGGGGAAACAGTGGAGGCAAAGATGACTACTAGCTCTCTGGCTTGGGCAACTGATGGGATAGTGGTACCACAGAAGAAGGGAACATTGGAAGAAGCGTGGATTTAGAAGGGAAGATGAGTTTAGTTTTGGACATGTTAAGTTTGAGGTTCTCAGATCTTTAAGTGGAGATGTTATGTATACTAGTTTGAAGCTCGGGATAGAGATCTGGGCTAGAGATACATTTAGGACTCATCAATAGATTATTATTTAAAGCTATGGGAATGAATGAAATGACCTATGGGGAGAGTATAAAAGGAGAAGAGAAGAAGCTATAGGAAAAAGCTTTAAAAATCACCAGATTTAAAAATCAATCTCAGAAGAGACCCCACAAAAGAAGACTACGATGGAATGGTCAGAGAGGTGGGAGGAGACTCAGAAGAGAGTATCATGTTAAGTGGTGAAACATGATAAAGACTGAAAGGTGTCCTTCTGAGTTACCAAAATGGAGCTTATTAATGAACTTGAAAGTTCAGTGGAGAAAAGGGTAGGATGAGAAGCCAGACTGGATTGGGTTAAATAATGACTGAGAGGAAAGGACCTATAAATGGCACCATACATATGAGCTTGATTATTTGGGGGGGGCAGATAACCCTTTCTATGCCTTAATTTCCTCATCTGTAAAATGGGAATGTAATAGTATCTGCCTCATAAGTTTGTTGTGATTATATTAATCGGTGTAAAGCACTCAGCACAGCACTGGTACATACTAAATGCTCAATAAATGTGTTTCTGCTAGTAATAGTACATATGTAGAGAAACTATGTACCTGACATTTTTTAAAATGCATAATTTTCCTTAGGATTTCTAGGCTCTTAATTCCCATAAGGTTCAGCTTAATATCATGCATATTTAAAATAAACCATCCTGTACAATGGATTGGGTTTGGCAGAACTGAAGTCATTTTAACTTATTTGATGATGGGAATTTCAAGGCTTATTGGTTTAGCTTGCTGTAACAGCATTATGCATATACTTTTATTTTGTTCCAAATATCACCTCATTATAATTATAAGACATATGGAGGTACATAGTTGCCTTAAGTATAGATAGGCTGAGTTATCTAGGAAAATGACATAGTAAGTAGAATGTTTGGGGCAGAAGTAACAAAATTCAGTTAGAAGTGACTTAAACAATAAGGGACATTTATTATCTCAAACAACAAGAAGTCTTATGAAAGGAGGTTCCAGGGTTGGTTAATTCAGTGGCTCAGGGATGTCATCAGAGACCCAGGTTCCTTCCTTCTTTCCACTCTACCATCCCGAGCAGCCTCACTAACCTTTGTACCTAGTAATTAGACCCAGGGTTCAGAATCACATGTATAGCATGATCTTCTATATGTTTACAGATGTCGAGAAGGATATGTGTCAATCTATTAGTAGTTATCTCTGGAGCATGGAATTATAGGAAGAATTTCACTTCCACCTTATGCATTTCTATACTATTTGAATGTTTTTCACAAAGCATCAACAATAGAGGTGTTTTCATTTCTAGCGGATATACCACATTGCAAAATAGAAACATCCCTGTTGAAAAAATATTGTTTTGAAAATCCAGTCGTCCCTTGGTATTGGCGGGGGATTGGTTCTAGGACCCGCGGATGATACCAAAATCCGAGTATGCTCCAGTCCCATAGCCCACCCTCCATATCCAAGGGTTTGAATCCTCAGATTCAACCAGCCACAGATTGTGTATTAAATTTGCAATCTGTGGTTGTTTTAACCCATGGATGGGAACCCTCAGATACAAATGGCCAACTGTATATTTATTGAAAAAAATCCAGGTGTAAGTGGACTCGTGCAGTTCAAACCCATGTTGTTCAAGGGTCAACTGTACTTGAAAAGTGTTATTGAATGATATCATTAACCACAAGTTTAAGGATCCTATCCCATACTAGACTGTGCTTAAAATTGGTAC